CAGACAGATGTGGTGGCTCATGCCTGTAATTCTAGCACTTTGGGAGGCCAAGGCAGGAAGATCACTTGAGCCCAAGAAATTAGCCAGGCGTGGTGGTGCACACCTGTAATCCCAGCTACTTAAGAGGCTGAGGCAGAAGGATCACCTAAGCCTGGGATGTCAAGCCACTGCACTCCAGCCTGGGCAACAGAGATCAGTAGCACATGATGTTGACTTGTAGTGATACTAACTTTGATCTTTTGGTTAAGTGCTATTTACCACATTTGTCTACTGCAGGGTTACTGTTTTTTCCTTTTTGTAATTAATAAGACTCTTATGGGGTGCTATAGTTTGGATTTTTTTTTTTTTGAGACGGAGTTTCACTCTTGTTACCCAGGCTGGAGTGCAATGGCACGATCTCGGCTCACTGCAACCTCCGCCTCCTGGGTTCAGGCAATTGTCCTGCCTCAGCCTCCTGAGTAGCTGGGATTACAGGCACACACCACCATGCCCAGCTAATTTTTTGTATTTTTAATAGAGACGGGGTTTCACCACGTTGACCAGGATGGTCTCGATCTCTTGACCTCGTGATCCACCTGCTTCAGCCTCCCAAAGTGCTGGGATTACAGGTGTGAGCCACCGCGCCCGGCCTTAGTTTGGATGTTTATCCCTTCCATACCTTGTGTTGAAACTTGATCCCCAACTTTGGAGGTGAGGCCTAATGGGAGGTATTTGAGTCATGTGTGCAAATCGCTCATGAACAGATTAATGCACTTCCTGAGGAGTTAGGAAATAGTTGAGTTCTCAAGCTCTGTAAGTTCCCACAAGAGCAGGTTGTTAAAGAGAACCTGGTACCTCCCCCTCTCTCTTTTCCCTTTTGCCATGTGATCTCTGCTCCCCTTTGCTTTCCGCTATAAGTGGAAGCAGCCCAAGGCCTTTATCAGAAGCAGACGCTAGCACCATGCTTCTTGCACAGCCTGTAGAACCATGAACTAAATAAACCTCTTTTCTTTATAAATTACCCAGTCTTAGGTATTCCTTTACAGTAACACTAAATAGACTAAGACCTGTGGATATACTTTGAGTGTAGGCACACCTGAAGAAGTTTAAGCAAGAAATTGACATGTTTGGGGTTTTTCTGTTTGTTTTTGAGACAGCAGTCTCAATCTGTAACCCAGGCTGGAGTGCAGTGGCATGATCTCAGCTCACTGCAGCCTCAACGTCCTGGACTCAATGATTCTCCCACCTCAGTCTCCCAAGTAGCTGGGATTACAGCACATGCATGCCACCATGCCCAGCTAATTTTTATATTTTTAGTAGAGATGGGGTTTCACTATGTTGGCCAGGCTGGTCTCAAACTCCTGACCTCAAGTGATTCACCCATCTCGGCCTCCCAAAGTGCTGGGATCACAGACTTGAGCCACCGTGCCTGGCCAACATGCTCAGCTTTTTTTTTTTTTTTGAGACAGAGTCTGTGTCAGGAGTGCAATGGCACGATCTCGGCCCACTGCAACCTCTGCCTCACAGGTTCAAGTGATCCTCCTGCCTCAGCTTCCCAAGTAGCTGGGATTATAGGCACATGCCACCACACCCGGCTAATTTTTGCATTTTTTAGTAGAAATGGGGTTTCACCATATTGGACAGGCTAGTCTCGAACTCCTGACCTTGTGATCCATCTGCCTTGGTCTCCCAAAGTGCTGGGATTATAAGCATGAGCCACTGTGCCTGACTAGTCTTCGCTTTATTTTTTTTATCATTTTTCATAAGTGATATATGAATATATTCTCATTTTAAAAGACTGAAACAACATAACTATGAGCCTCTCTTCTCACACTCCTCTTCCTATCAGTTGCTTGGTTTGTATTAATGCTTTCAGTTGCCCTTCTCTGCTATTCATTGACTCATGTATGCGTGAGATAGACAGGGCCCCTGGACTCACACAGTTTACATTCTAGTGGTAAAAACTTTCAACCCACCAATCTAAACCCTGATTATAATGCATTTTACCATTTCCCTCATGACTGGATATTTTCCCCCTGAAACAAATTGTGCTGCATTTAGCACCCTTGTAGCATGCTCTTTTTGAGCAGGGAACAAATCTCTCTCCTAGAACAGATACCTAGAAGTGGAGTTGTTGGACTGAATGGTATGTCTATTATTTGTTTTCCTAGATACTGTCATAGTGCCCTCTGGAAAGGCATTACACTACCACCAGCAGTATGTGAGAATTCTTTTTTTTTTTTTTTTTTTTTTTGAGACGGAGTTTCACTCTTGTTACCCAGGCTGGAGTGCAATGACGCGATCTCGGCTCAACGCAACCTCCGCCTCCTGGGTTCAGGCAATTCTCCTGCCTCAGCCTCCTGAGTAGCTGGGATTACAGGCATGCGCCACCATGCCCTGCTAATTTTTTGTATTTTTAGTAGAGACGGGGTTTCACCATGTTGACCAGGATGGTCTCAATCTCTTGACCTCGTGATCCACCTGCCTTGGCCTCCCAAAGTGCTGGGATTACAGGCTTGAGCCACCGCGCTCAGCCGAGAATTCTTTAACAACGACATTAAAAGAAAAGGAGCCTGCAAAAAAAAAAAAAAAAAGACTGAAAATGATTGGCCAGGCCAGAGATAGAAAAAAATCCTGGAGAGAAGAGGCTCACAAAAAGTCAAGGGAGTCTTAGCTAGCGGGAGGGAAAGGAGGAGTTTTTATTTTGGTTTTGCAAGAGGAAAAAGTTCCAGAGATCTGTTTTAAAACAGTATTAATATACTTAACACTACCAAACTGTACCCTTAAAAATGGTTAAGATGGTACATTTTTATTTTTATTTTTACAACAACAAAAAAATTGTCAAGGGGCCAGGTGCAGTGGCTCACACCTGTAATCCCAGCACTTTTGGAGGCGGATCATGAGGTCAGAGTTCAAGACCAGCCTGGCCAACATAGTGAAACCCTGTCTCTACTAAAAATACAAAAAAATTAGACAGGTGTAGAGGCAGGCGCCTGTAATCCTAGCTACTTGGGAGGCTGAGGCAGGAGAATCGATTGAAACCGGGAGGTGGAGGTTGCAGCGAGTCGAGATTGTGCCACTGCACACCAGCCCAGGCGACAGTGCGAGACTCCATCTCAGAAAAATAAAATGTCAAGGAGTGGAGAACTTACAGGAAGGAAGATAACCGCCAAAAGCTACAAACAGACATATCAGATAAAGAAAAGAAATAATTGCTGGGATGTGGGACGGTGGACACCACAGTAAAGCAGTTCCATGGAGGGCAGTTTTTGTGAAGCACTGAAAGTGAAGCTTGACTTCAGTGGCACAAAGTGAACAGGAGGTAGGATGGAGAGACAGGGACCAAGGACTCAACTCTGTCAAAAACCTGATGTTTTGGTGGGGGAGCACTCTCGAGGAGTTTATTTGGCCAGACTCAGGGTAAGGGTCCTGCACCTAGAAGAAGGTGTTGGGCCGCGTGGTGGTGAAGTGTTGGCTTCTGCTAGAGATGCCAGGACCTTGTGGGGCTGCAGGAAAAATATGGAACACTTCACAAATTTTCATATCATCCTTGCACAGGGGCCCTACTAGTCTCTTTATCATTCCAATTTTAATATATGTGACTCTGAAGCCAGCACTCAAAAGCCTAATTTCAAAGGAAGCGAAACAGAACTAGCTAGTGGGGAAAGGAAGCTGAGGAAGTGGGTTGTGTGGGGGTGTCTTTCCTTACGATGAGAAAGGCTTAAGTGTCTTTATGTACTGAGAGGAAAGCATGGGGGAAGAGGGAAAGATAAAGACAGGAGAGAATCTGGTCACTGTGGTAGCAGTAGGGAGATCTGGAATTATCTTAAACAAAAACAAGACAATTCTAAAGCAGGAAGGAAGGGAAAATGGTAAACAAGAGGTCAGAGATCAACAGAGGTCAGAGGTCCAGAGACAGGTTTTCAAAAAATCATACCAATAAACTTGTAAAAATCAGGCTGGGTGTGGTGGCTGATGCCTATAATCCCAGCACTTTGGGAGGCTGAGGCAGGCAGATCACCTGAGGTCAGGAGTTCGAGACCAGCCTGGCCAACATCATGAAACCTCATCTCTACTAAAATTACAAAAATTAGCCAGAAGTGGTAGCATGCACCTGAAATCCCAGCTACTCAGGAGGCTGAGGCAGGACAATCACTTAAACCTGGGTGGTGGAGGCTGCAGTGAGCCGAGATTGCGCCATTGCACTCCAGCCTGGGCAACAGACTAGGACTCTGTCTCCAAAAAAAAAAACAAAAAAATAAAAAACCTTGCTGTCCTTAAAATACACCAGGTATGGAAAAATTCCAAGATATTTATACTATTAAGAGAAAAAAGCTAAGATAGGCTGGGCATGGTAACTCATGCCTGTAATCCCAGCACTTTGGGAGCCCAAGGCAGGTGGATCACTGAGGTCTGGAGTTCAAGTCCAGCCTGGCCAACATGGCAAAACCCCTTCTCTACTAAAAACAAAACAAAACAAAACAAAAACAACAACAACAATAAAACATAGCCAGCATGGTGATGTGCACCTTTAATCCCAGCTACTCAGGAGGCTGAGGCAGGAGAATCGCTTGAACCCGGGAGGCAGAGGTTGCAATGAGCTAAGATCATGCCACTGTATTCGAGCCTAGGAGACAGAGCGACACTCCATCTCAAAAAAAAAAAAAAAAAAAAGAAGCCAGGCATGGTGGCATGTGCTTGTATTCCCAGCTACTGGGGGGCTGAGGCAGGAGGATCACCTGAATCTGGGAGGAGTAGGTTGCAGTAAGCCAAGATCGTGCCACTATACTCCAGCCTGGGCAATAAAGCAAGACTCTGTCAGAAAGAAAGAGAGAGAAAGAGGGAGAGGGGGAGGGAGGGGGAGGGGGAGGGGGAGGGGGAGGGAGGGAGAGAGGGAGAGGGAGAGGGAGAAAGAAAGAAAGAAAGGAAAAGAAAAAAACTAAGATATAGACTAGTATATGTAAAGTACAAAAGGTCACTACCAAGACTATGAAAAACAGTATGTATGAGTGTATACTTACATATGCATGGAACTCTCCAGAAGGATAAATAGAAAACTGCCAACAGTGTTTGCTGCTAAGGAGGAGGTACAAAGAAACAAGGATAGGTGTGAATTTTTAATTTCTCTAATTAACCCTCTGTACCTTTGAAAAAGGTTTTCTGTGTGTGTGTATTCACTATTCAAGTAAGTAAACAAATCTATAATTATACTAGACTGTGACAGAATGATTTAAGATTAAAACAGAAAATAAGAATATTCACTTAGGCTGGGAGTGGTGGCTCATGCCTGTAATCCCAACACTTTGGGAGGCTGAGGTGGGCGAATCACAAGGTCAGGGGTTCAAGACCATCCTGGCTAACATGGTGAAACCTCTTCTCTACTAAAAATACAAAAACTAGATGGGCGTGGTAGCATGTGCCTATAGTACCAGCTACTCAAGAGGCTGAGGCAGGAGAATCGCTTGAACCTGGGAGGGCAGAGGTTGCAGTGAGCGGAGATCATGCCATTGTATTCCAGCCTGGGTGACAGAGCAAGACTCCATGTAAAAAAAAAAATTAGCTGTGCATGGTGGCAGACACCTGTAATCCCAGATACTCGGGAGGCTGAGGCAGGATAATTGCTTGAACCCAGGAGGCAGAGGTTGCAGTGAGCTGAGATCACACCATTACACTCCAGCCTAGGCAACAGAGCAAGACTTTGTCTCAAAAAAAAAAAGAATATTCACTAACTGTTTCATACACTATACAGTCATATATGTCACACAACACATACACATGTAACATGTACTGTGGCAATGTCTGGGAAAAATATGTACTCTTGTCAGAAAAAGTTGATCAAATTAAATCATAACAAAAACCACAAACTGTCCTAAAATATATATATATATATATACCCTTCTACCTAGCAATTTTACTTCCAGGAACTTATGTTAAGGAAATAAACAAGGATGCAAAAAGAATTGTACTAAACTGTTTAAGCACTGTTTGTCATAGCAAAAAAAATCTATCCAGTAGAATTCCTTACATCCATAAAATGCAACATCATGTCACACCAATATGACCTAGATATATTTATTTATTGATTATGTATTTAAATTATTTGTGCTGGGTACATTGGCTCACACCTATAATCTCAGCACTTTGTGGGGCCAAGGCAGGAAGATCACTTGAGGCCAGGAGTTCAAGGGTACAGTGAGCTATGACTGCACTACTACACTCCAGCCTGGGTGACAGACTGAGATCCTGTCTCTAAATAAACTGTTTTAATATATTTGTTATATAGAAATAAAAATTATTTATACTTACAGATGCTATTGTGCTATTTTTTTTTTAAGAGACAGGGTCTCACTCTGTTGCCCAGGCTGGAGTACAGTGGTACAATCACAGCTTACTGCAGCCTTGATTCTACATATATAATTAAATAATAATGAAGCGAGCATTTATTGAGCCTTACTATATGGCAGGCAGTATTTTAAGCATTTTTTGCCTATTAATTCATCTAATCCTTACAACAGCTCCAAGGTTGGGACTATAATTATTCACATTTTACAGATGAGTAACAGAGGTACAAAGGTTAAAAAGCTTTTCCAGAATCATATAGCTAACAAGTGGTAGAGCCAGATTCAAACCCAGACAGACTGGCTGCTAAGCCCAAGCTTTTAACTGCTTGGCTAAATTGCTTTTCAAACTGAAATAAACAAGTTGCAATTACAGTATGTATAGTATGCATCCATTTTTATCAAAATAACTTGGGCCAGGCACTGTGGCTCATGCCTGTAAAACACTTTGGGAGACCAAAGTGGGAGGATCACAAGGTCAAGAGATCGAGACCAGCCTGCCCAACATGGTGAAACCCAATCTCTACTAAAAATACAAAAATAAGCTGGGTGTGATGGCATGCACCTGTAAGTACCATCTACTCGGGAGGCTGAGGCAGGAAAATCGCTTGAACCCAGGAGGCAGAGGTTGCAGTGAGCTGAGATGGCTCCACTGCATTCCAGCCTGGGTGACAGACTGAGACTCCATCTCAACAATAATAATAATAATTATAAATAACTTAACAAAGAAAAATAAACGTAGCGTATACATTTTAAAAATCTAGGGCCGGGGCTGGGTGCAGTGACTCATGCCTGTAATCCCAGCACTTTGGGAGCACAAGGCGAGGAGATCACCTGATGTCAGGAGATCAAGACCAGCCTGGCCAACATGGTGAAACCCCGTCTCTACTAAAAATACAAAAAATTAGCTGGGCGCGGTGGCAGGCACCTGTAATCTCAGCTACTTGGGAGGCTGAGGCAGAAGAATCGCTTGAACCTGGGAGGCAGAGGTTGCAGTGAGCTGATATCACACCATTATACTCCAGCCTGGGTAACAGAGCAAAACTCCATCTCAGAAAAAAAACAAAACAAAAAACTAAGGCCAGGCACGGTGGCTCACACCTGTAATCCCAGCACTTTGGGAGGCTAATACGGGCAGATCACCAAGGTTGAGAGTTCAAGACCAGCCTGACCAACATGGAGAAACCCCATATCTACTGAAAAAAAATACAAAATTAGCCAGACGTGGTGGCTCACGCCTATAATCCCAGCACTTTGGGAGGCTGAGGCGGGTGGATCACGAGGTCAAGAGATCAAGACCATTCTGGTCAACAAAGTGAAACACCGTCTCTACTAAAAATAACAAAAATTAGCTGGGCATGGTGGCACGCGCCTGTAGTCCCAGCTACTCGGGAGGCTGAGGCAGGAGAATTGCTTGAACCCAGGAGGCGGAGGTTGCGGTGAGCCGAGATTGCGCCATTGCACTCCAGTCTGGGTAACAAGAGCGAAATTCCGTCACAAAAAAAAAAAAAAAAAAAAGAAAAAAAGAAAAATATATATATATACAATGAAGCACAGTACAAGCACTAGGTCTATTTTTCTTTCCTCAGCCTCCCAAAGTGCTGGGATTATAGGCGTGAGCCACCGCACCCGGCCTATTGTCTACATTACCTCATAGCAACAAGGAGAAGAGATCAATGGTTTGTTTTTTATTTTTGAGACAGTCTCACTCTGTCATCCAGGCTGGAGTATAAATGCACGATCATGGCTCATTGCAGCCTTCACCTCCTGGATTAAAGCTGTTCTCCTGCCTTAGCCTCCCAAGTAGCTGGGATTACAGTTGCCTACCACTGTGCCCAGCTATTTTTTGTATATATATATTTTTGAGAAGGAGTCTTGCTCTGTTGCCCAGGCTGGAGTGCAATGGTGCGATCTCGGCTCACTGCAACCTCCGCCTTCTGGGTTCAAGCGATTCTCCTGCCTCAGCCTCCCGAGTAGCTGGGACTACAGGCACGCGCCACCATGCCCAGCTAATTCTTGTATTTTTAGTAGAGACGGGGTTTCACCTTTTTGACCAGGATGGTCTCGATCTCTTAACCTCATGATCCACCCGCCTCGGCCTCCCAAAGTGCTGGGATTATAGGCGTTAGCCACCACGCCTGGCCCTCTTTTTTTTTGAGACAGAGTTTCGCTATTGTTACCCAGGCTGGAGTGCTATGGCGCAATCTCGGCTCACCGCAACCTCTGCCTCCTGGGTTCAGGCAGTTCTCCTGCCTCAGCCTGCTGAGTAGCTGGGATTACAGGCACGCACCACCATGCCCAGCTAATTTTTTGTACATTTAGTAGAGACGGGGTTTCACCATGTTGACCAGTATGGGCTCGATCTCTTGACCTCGTGATCCACCCGCCTCGGCCTCCCAAAGTGCTGGGATTACAGGCTTGAGCCACCGCGCCCGGCCCAAGAGATGCGGTCTTGCCATGTTTCCAGGCTGGTTTTGAGCTACTGGGGTCAAGTGATCCTCCCACCTCAGCCTCCCAAAAGTACTGGGATATAGGCATGAGCTACCGTGCCCAGTCGTCTTTTCATTTTAAAGCAATGCTAATAATATTGTCTTCAGGAGAAACACAAATTCTGAAAATTTTTCTTAATGGGATTTCAGGAGATCCCACGTTCTCCAAAATAAACAGCAAAGAACTTGCCTGAGTTGGTGCAGAGATGGCCACAGAGTATAGGAATCAACCCATCAAGTTAGGAGCTGTAAGGTTCCCACCATAAAGTCATGGTTCACAAAACTGCAGAGACGCTAAGCAATGTTATTCCTAAATCTAAACCACTCTTTATCTGCCTGGAGGTTCTCCTGCTTTATCCACCTTTCTATAACTGTACCCTTACAGGGATGTGGACTTAAGAATTAAGGGAAAATAAGTGTGTGGAGGCAGCCCCTAGTCTGGGGAACCTGTGACCAGGGCCAGGTCTCATCCCATACCCTTTTATTTAAAGAAAGAAAGAAAAGAATTAAGGGAACATTTAGATTTGTAATCCGGTTAAGGTATTGTCTATTTGTCATCCATGGGAAGCAAATGTTGACATGGTCATATGCAACCTTGGAAGTCAGCTACAGACTAGGCTGCCTTGCCCTGCCCCCAGGCAGACAATCTAAATCTGTCAGGTTAGGTTTACTTGACTATTCCTTCTAATCTCTGGGACTCTTAACATTGTGGTGGGTTGTCATAGGGAAAGGTTATCATTCCGAGATACCTCACAAGAATTCAGCTGCTCACTGCCCTGGGGCAAAAGCCCTTAGTAAAACTGAAACCACAGGGACCTCAAGAGTCATAGCCAGTGACCACAGCCACTGGAAGCAGTTTCTTGGATATTCTCCTTGGATGGACAGGAAAAGGCCTTGGAAGGTTTTACTCAAACTGGGGAGCTGAAATGAAGTAGCACTGAAGTGTCCCTTGAGGCCTTACAGGACTTCTGTCAACCTCCCTTATCTGACCATCCTAAACCCAAAAGGAAAACTGCATTCCCTGCCTCCTTTTCCATAGTCCAGATCCAAAACAGGTAACTACATTGCTTTACCTCATCTGTGCCACACTGGGATATCTCTCTTTCTTTCCGGTCAGCATTATAATTGACTTAATTTTTATTAAGGAATACAAGAGCCTTATCAGACCCCTTTCTATGCCCCTTTAACTTACTGTTGGGGTTGTTTTCTCTGGTCTCCCACCAGAGAAAGCTAGGAATTCACATTTTTCCTAAAGGACATTTATCCTCACTTATTCAGGATTTCTTGAACCCGTAAGCATAGATGAAACCATGCACATTCATTCATGCACACGTTTAGAGAACCATTACAGAAGTTACTCTAGCCAGGCGCGGCAGCTCATACCTGTAATCCTAGCACTTTGGGACCCTGAGGCAGGCGGATCATGAGGTCAGGATATCAAGACCAGCCTGGCCAACATGGTGAAACCCCACATCTCTACTAAAATACAAAATATTAGCTGGGCATGTTGGCACGTGCCTGTAGTCTCAGCTACTTGGGAGGCTGAGGCAGAAGAATCACTTGAACCTGGGAGATGGAAACCGCAGTGAGCCAAGATTGAGCCACTGCACTCCAGCCTAGTGACAGAGGGAGACTCCATCTCGATAAATAAATAAATAAATAAATAAATAAATAAATAAATAAATAAATAAATAAAATAGATAAATTAATGGGTAATAATGTTATAAAAGGTGACCGGGCTTTCTTTTCTTCTTCTTTTTTTTTTTTTTTTTTGAGACAGAGTCTTGCTCTGTCTCAGGCTGGAGTACGATGGTGAGATCTTGGCTCACTGCCATCTCTGCCTCACAGGTTCAAGTAATTATCCTGCCTCAGCCTCCCGAGTAGCTGGGACATCAGGCGTATGCCACCACACCCGGCTAATTTTTGTATTTTTTAGTAGAGACGGGGTTTCACCATGTCGACCAGGATGCTCTCAATCTCTTAACCTCATGATGTGCCCGTCTTGGCCTCCCAAAGTGCTGGGATTACAGGCGTGAGGCACTGCACCCGGCTAAGGTGTCCTGGCGGTAACACTACTGACCTTGCTTCTTCAAGCAGCTCTTCACTTTTTTTTTTGAGATGGAGTCCTGCTCTGTCTCCAGGCTGGAGTGCAGTGGCACGATACTGCAATCTCCAACTGCCTAGTTCAAGCGATTCTCCTGCCTCAGCCTCCCGAGTAGCTGGGATTATGGGCGCCCCCCCCTCCACCATGCCCAGCTAGTTTTTGAATTTTTGGTAGAGACGGGGTTTCACCATGTTGACTAGGATGGTCTCAATCTCCTGACCTCGTGATCCACCCGCCTCAGCCTCCTAAAGTGCTGAGATTACAGGCGTGAGCCACCGCGCCGGCCAGCTCTTGACTTTTAAGTGAAGGGAGTGATCATTTTTACTTAAGCAATGCAACTCTTAGACTGTAATCACTTCCTCTCTTCAGGACTCAAGTTTCCTCACTTGTGAGATGAGAGGTTCTAAAGTTCTAATTCCAGAATGCTGTGGTTCATACTGGATTAAACATATGGGGATTTTAAAGTTAGGTCTTTTAGTTTTAATTTATTTGATTTACAAAAAAATCCAGAAGGCATATAATTCTTCAAGAGTTCATCTAATGTCTAAAAAGAGGTCTGCCAGGCATCAAAGGCCAGCAACGACCTCCCAGTTGGTCACCAGCTCCAAGCACTATTTGTGTGGTTACCCCAAGCTTCATTATCTTAAATACATAATCCCCTTGTCAGTAGAGACATAAAGAAAAAAACACATGGGCCAGGCGTGGTGGCTCACGCCTGTAATCCCAGCACTTTGGGAGGCTGAGGCAGGTGGATCACCTGAGGTTGAGGGTTCAAGACCAACCTGACCAACATGGAGAAACCCCATCACTATTAAAACTACAAAAACTGGCCAGGTGTGGTGGTGCATGCCTGCAATCCCAGCTACTTGGGAGGCTTAGACAGGAGAATCACCTGAACCCAGGAGGCAGAGGTTGCAGTGAGCCAAGATCATGCCATTGCACTCTAGCCTGGGCGCCACAGCAAAACTGTTTCAAAAAAAAAAAAAAAGAAACACACACATAATCCTTGTCCTCCAACTAAGGTGTAGGGTCGAACCCAATCACTACATAGGATAAAAAACACATAAAAAGAGGTAAATGTATTAAGCAAATTATTAACAAGTTAATAATTAATGTAAGTCATAAATATGCCAAAAAGAACAGACGGTATAGACTAATTACAGAAAGCTTTCTGCAAAAAGGAGTTTTAAAAACTGGGCTTTCAAGGCCAGAAGGAATCCCAAGTGACAAAGAGGGTGAAGCCTGGAATAGGATTCTGAAGCAAAGCTCTTTACCTTCCAAGCGCTGGGGGCAGGTTCCCTGTTCACAAGGCTCCAACCCCCTGATGCCTCCACTCAGAGCCACTGAAGAGATTCTCCCAGTAACCCATCTTGTTGGCTATTCTCCAACTGAGTCTTCCTTCCCAGTAACAAGCTCCATCGCCCAGGGGATCAATGTGATGTCACAATCAGGAGAACTCTAGTAATGGGAACAAGGAAGAGAAAGAAGAGTCAGTAGAACTACCTCCACTTGGCAGGGAGACTGGAAAGACAAATCTGGCAGTTGGCTGGGGAGGATGAGATAATTCCATTAAGCACTACAGTTTTTCAGTGCTAGGCAAGACTACCTTCTAAGGAGGGAGCTCACTGGCCAGAGAAGCGCACACATAGGGTCCAGTAGATCTGGGAGGGGGAAAGAAAAGGACAAGAGGAAGAGTGGAGAAGAACTGTTGGAGATTTAAGATTCTTTTATTCAGTGCACATAACTACAAGTAATAATGATTCCAAATCTGTGGCTACAAAATGCATCAATCCATAATACCTTATGTGTACAGTACAATGCTTTAATGCAGGGGTCCCCAACCCCCCAGGTGGACTAGTACCAGACTGTGGTCTGCTAGGAACCGATCACACAGCAGGAGGTAAGCAGGAAACGAGCAAGCATTAAGGCCTAGGCTCTATCTCCTGTCCTATCAGCAGTGGCATTTGATTCTCATAGGAGCACAAACCTTACTGTGAACTGCCCATGCAAGGGATCTAGGTTGCATACCCGCTATGAGAATCTGATGCCTGATGATCTGAGGTGGAACAGTTTCATCCCGAAACCATCCTCTCGCTCACCATCTGTGGAAAAACTGTCTTCCAAAAAAGGTTGGGGATTGCTGCTTTAATATTAATTTTAAAAAAAAAGAAAAAGAAAAAGAAAAAAAAATTAGTTTCCAAAGTGCTTCCACATAATTATTATTTTTTTCTTTTTTTGAGACGGAGTCTTGCTCTGTCACCTAGGCTGGAGTGCAGTGGCGTGATCTTGGCTCACTGCAGCCTGTGCCTCCTGGGTTCAAGTGACTCTCCTACCTCAGCCTCCTGAGTAGCTGAGATTACAGGCAACCGCCACCATACTCGGCTAATTTTTTTTTTTTTTTTTGAGATGGAGTTTCACTCTTGTTGCCCAGGCTGGAGTGCAGTGGCACAATCTTGGCTCACCATAACCTCCGCCTCCCAGATTCAAGCAATTCTCCTGTCTCAGCCTCCTGAGTAGCTGGGATTACAGGCGCCCGCCACCACACCAGGCTAATTTTGTATTTTTAGTACAGACGGGGTTTCTCCATGTTGGACAGGCTGGTTTCGAACTCCCGACCTCAGGTGATCTGCCCACTTCGGCCTCCCAAAGTGCTGGAATTACAGGAGTAAGCCACCGCATCTGGCCTAATTTTCGCATTTTTAGTAGAGACAGGGTTTCACCATGTTGGCCAGGCTGGTCTCAAACTCTTGACCTCAGGTGATCTGCCCACCTCAGCCTCCCAAAGTGCTGGGTTTACAGGCGTGAGCCACTGCAGCCCACATAAATTATTGTTATTTTTCGAGACAGGGTCTTGCTGTATTGCTCAGGCTGGAGTACAATGGTATGATCAGAGCTCACTGCAGCCTCCCTTCCCAGGCTCCAGGAATCCTCCCACCTCAGTCTCCCAAATAGCTGGGACTACAGGCGCACGCCACCCTGCCTGGCTAATTTTTGTATTTTTGGTAGAAATGGGGTTTTGCCATGTGGCCCAGGCTGGTCTTGAACTCCTGGGCAGGTTCCAGCAATCTTCCCACCTCAGCCTCCCAAACTGCCTGGATTACAGGCACCAGCCACTGCACCCACCCCCAAATGTACAAATTTAAACAAGTCAAGTAACCCTTCTGTAGTTTTGTTTCTTCAACTGTCAAGTAGGGAAAATGATACCTGCCTTATATATTAATATAAAACATTACATATATATATATGTGTGTGTGTGTATGTGTGTGTGTGTTTAGATAGAGCCTTGCTCTTTCACCCAGAAGGGAATGCAGTGATGTGATCTCCTCGGCTCACTGCAACCTCCACCTCCCAGGTTCAAGCTATTCTCCTGCCTCAGCCTCCTGAGTAGCTGGAATCACAGGCCCATGTTACCATGCCAAGCTAATTTTTTTTTTTTTTTTTTTTTGAGCCTGAGTCTCACTCTGTCACCCAGGCTAGAGTGCAGTGGCGTGATCTCAGCTCACTGCAACCTTTACTTCCTGGGTTCAAGCGATTCTTCTGCCTCAGTCTCCCAAGTAGCTGGAACTACAGGTGCACACCACCACACCCGGCTAATTTTTTGAATTTTTAGTAGAGATGAGTTTCACCTTGTTAGGATGGTCTCAATCTCCTAACCTAATTTTTATATTTTTAGTAGAGACAGAGTTTCAACAGGTTGGCTGGGCTGGTCTCAAATTCCTGGCCTTATGTGATCCACCCACCTTGACCTCCCAGAGTCCTGGGATTACAGGTGTGAGCCACTGAGCCCCACCTAATATAAGGTGTGTATGTGTGTATACACATACATACACATACACATACACACACACACACACACACACCTTATACATACTGTCCTGTAAATCAAGTGAAATAATAAATATGGAAGGAGGCTGGACACAGTGGCTCACACCTGTAATCCCAATACTTTGGGAGGTTGAGGTGGATGGATCACTTGAGTCCAGGAGTTCGAGACCAGCCTGGGCAACATAGTGAAACCTTGTCTCTACAAAAAATACAAACATTAGTCAGGCATGGTGGCGTAAGCGCTTGTAGTCCCAGCTACTGAGGAGGCTGAAGCAGTAAGATCACCTGAGCCCAGGAGGCAGAGGTTGCAGTGAGCAGAGATTGCACCACTGCACACCAGCCTGGGTGACAGAGTGAGACCCCGTCTCAAAAATAAATAAATAAATACATAAACATGAAAGGATACTGAATACTGTCATCCTCAAGTGAGATATTATTTGTAACAACAGAATGCAAAATAAGGGCGGGTGCAGTGGCTCACACCTGAAATCCTCGCACTTTGGGAGGCCAAGGTGGGTTGATCACCTGAGGTGAGGGTTTTTGTTTTTTGGAGATGGAGTCTCACCCTGACGCCCAGGCTGGAGTGCAGTGGCGCAATCTCGGCTCATGGCAACCTCTGCCTCCTGGGTTCAAGCAATTCTCCTGCCTCAGCCTCCTGAGTAGCTGGGACTACAGGTGCATACAGCCACACCTGGCTAATTTTTCATATTTTTAGTAGAGATGGGGTTTCACTGTGTTGCCCAGCTAGTCTCAAACTCCTGAGCTCAGACAACCCACCCGCTTCGGCCTCCCAAATTGCTAGTATTATAGGCATGAGCCACTGCGCCTGGCCGAGGTCAGGGGTTTGAGATCAGCCTGGCCGACATGGTGAAACCCCATCTCTACTAAAAATACAAAAAATTAGCTGGGCATGGTGGCGGGTGCCTGTAATCCCAGCTACTCGGGAGGCTGAGGCAGGAGAATCGCCTGAACCCAGGAGAAGGAGGTTGCAGTGAGCTGAGATCGTGCCACTATACTCCAGCCTGGGCAAGAGTGAGACTCAATCTCAAAAAACAAAAAAAGGCAAAATAAATAAATTTAAAGTACTGAGAGTCGGAGAGGAAATGCTTAAAAGAAGATTGTTCCTTCTTTTTACTAGAAGGTAGGCCTAGCCACAGGTGGGCTGGACATGCAAGGTAGTAACATTGCATTACTCACATTCCCTACCACGAATCCACCCCATTCTTATTTGGGGCAAAACTATCAGCCAACAACACTCTCAGCCTCTTGCCCTATTGTCAGACTCTAAAACCACTCTTAGAAAGGGCTAACACTATCACGGGCCAGTCCCCAAGAACAGTGGCCTCATTAACAACCCCACTTGTTATTAGGTGAAAGGAAGTTTCTGAATGGGGAGGGAGTCTGTCAATTCCTCAAGAAAAACGCCCTTAACCCTCTTAGCTTTCTGCTCTTCCTCTGGCCCCCTCCTTCCCACTCCCCAATTTCCCAAAGTCCTGGGTTTGGGAAGGCCTTCCAGTGTGTGGTGTGTGAAGCCTATCAGAGGGCCAGGCTGCAAACTAAGCGCAGGGATGTGAAGAATGTGAGATTTCTTCATGGAGGGCTAGGAGGGGGAGAGGAACGGGGAAGGAATGAGAGGACAAGGCTGCCAAAGACAAGACATGGGAGAGGAGCCAAGCTATGGCGCTTCGAGGGCGGGGGTTTAGGTTCCACCGCCCCTGCCCAGGCTAGCCCCCGGAATGCTCCCTTCCTCCCCTTCTGGTCCGTCAATCATTGCCCATTTAAACACTACGTTGTTCCTCTAGGTCCGCAGCTGCCGGTCCTCCAGCTAGCCCCGGCCCCCTCCCGCACTTCTCAAAGCTCCCCTATTCCAATGGACCTTCCCCAACAACCCAATCTCCAGAGCCCCTTTCTCACCTCCCAACTCCTCGCCAGTGCTGCTTCCTTCCCCCATTTTCGTCTTTACCAACATCCCTCCTCCTGAACCCCAGTATTTCAACCCCCTGCCCCAATACCCCTGGGACATCACCTCCTCCCCTCCCACACCCTCTTTTAGGTGGAAGATCGCGCAGGCGCAGTACGCACCGCCCTGGACACTCCGCACCCTGGCCCAGTTGGAGCTCAGGCCGCAGCGGCCACAGGTCTGCCCTGATGCCGGGTCCCAGCCTTTCCCGGGAAGGGAAGGGAAAGGGGAAGGAGGGGAAAGAAGTCTCCGACCACTCGTCGCCGTCTCTGGCGGATCCTTTGCCCCGCCCACCGCTGCTACGCAACCCGGCGGAAGCTCGTCACCAAACCCCGCCTCTTTGTTTAACTCATTCCCTACGCGGGCAGCCACGAGCGACCTACGAGGAGAGACGAAGGCTAGCCAGGCCTCCGCTCTAGACAGGAAGTCTTTGTGGTCTCTGTCAGGACTATATAGCCATTTGGGAGGAAGAACTCTGTGTTCTTCCCGACAAGAACGGGTGGGTCTGGCCGGCCACGCTTCGCTTTGGAAGGATCACGTGACTTGTGTCCCAGAGCTGACGCGGATTGGTGGGAGATCATTGCGGAGAGGCTGGTCTGCAGCGTGACCGGCTGTGGGTCCAGCCCCTCTCCCTTTTCCAGAGCCCTGGTCGGCATCCCAGAGCCTCGTGACCCCTTGACGCCTGTCATGGGAATGGATATTGTAGTTAACAAGGCGGTTGCGGGGTGGGGAGTGAGGGAATCCGACTGCAAAGCTTAGATCCGGGGTGCTCAATGGGTTGTCTGCCTCTCTCCCAGGCGCACTCTTCCCATATCCACGATGTCTCCTCGATCACTTGAGGAGTTCCCTGAAACACCTAAGAAGGAAGGGAGAGAAAATTTCCCTCTTCCTGAGTTGGAGTTTGATTTCCTTAGCTTACAACACCATGGTGTTGGGGTGTGGGTGGTAGAGAACCTGGGATCCAAGGGAAGTCAATGTGGAGCCTAAAGAGCTCCATGAAAAGATAAGGGATTCATTAGGCAAACCAAGGCATTACAATTACATTATCTCTTAGGCTAATCTGGTATTAAATAGTATGGCATTTATTTTGGACATTGGCTAAGCAATGTTAGTGCACATTGATACACATACCCACACACACCCACATATCTCTATGTAATTTGTTTACACACAACAATACAGAACTAGCTATCTTTTGTGGACAATTTGACAGGTCCCAAAAGGAACTGAAGTTTCAAGCCTTTTTTCTGCCATCCTCTAGAGGGGACTCAGATCAAGTAAGATAAAAGTAGTATGGCCGGGTGCAGTGGCTCACGCTTGTAATCCCAACACTTTGGGAGGCCGAGGTTGGCGTATCGCTTGAAGTCAGAGTTCGATACCAGCCTGGGCAACATGGCAAAACTCCGTCTTTACAAAAAAATATAAAAATTAGCCGAGAGTGGTGGGACGCACTGTAGTCTCAGCTACTAGGGAGGCTGTGGTGGGAGGATCGCTCGAGCAAGGGAGGCAGAGGTTGCAGTGAGTCAAGATTGTACCACTGCACTCCAGCCTCGGCTACACAGCGAGGCTGTTTCCAAAAAAAAGAGGGACTAACAAGTATTTCTCTCTATGCTGCAGGTTCCATTTCTTCCAAGAAAGGTGAGCCTGCCTTTTGTCTCTGGTGTAAGTGCCACTTTTCCCAGAGACCTTGACCAAGCTGGGTAGTGCATTAAAGATGAAAACCCCAAATCAGGAATAAATATAAAAGAGCAAATAAAAAAGGAGGAAACCGTGTGTGCCTACTGTGTGCAAGGCACTGCTTTTTAACTTCCGTTTTCTCATCTGTAAGATGGAATTACATATTTTTGTCTCTTTTTGCCTTTTTCTGGAGAATGGGGTCTCGCTATATTGCCCAGGCAGGTCTGGACTCCTGGGCTCATGCTATCCTCCAGCCTCTATACCTCCCTAAGAGCTGGGATTACAAGCGTGAGCCACCGCGCCTGACGGAATTAAATATGTTTAAATCGTCGAGAAAAGAAGTGAAGCATTGAGCCAGGATTCAAACTTTTGTCCGCCAGATTCCGAAGCCCTTGCTCCTTTTCCCCTGGTATCACTCTTTGGAAAGAAACATCTTAGAGTCTAAGAGCATTCTCCCCAGCCATGTTTCGGAAAATTGGGGCCCTCTGCGCCCACTAGTGGTGAATCTTTCCCCCTGTAGAGCCAACTATCTCCGAGGCTCCTTTAATACCTGAAATTCGCCCCCTTCGCGGCGCACGAGTCTCGGATCCCGATTGGCTGGGCAAGGCAGGCGGCACGACGCAGGGCGCTCCCGGGCGGTGCTGATTGGCCGGAGAAGGCCAGCCTGGGGAAACTTCCGGGAATGTCCGCACCCCGGCGTTCCACCGGGCAGCTTCCGGCGGCAGCAGAGCCTGTGGCTCCCCCTGCGGGCTGCTCAGCGGCGTGCACAGTCCTGACGGCTGGCTGGGTGGGTGGTGGGCTACGGGTGGGGGAGGGGATGGACCGAGTCCCGGGTTGTCGGGATGAGGGTTCGGGAAGGTCTGGCCAGTAAGATTCTACTCCCTGGCTCTGCACCGGGTTCCCTACCCCTGTCAACGTCGGCTCCGCCACTTCAGAGCATGAGACTAAAAGAGCATCCCGGCAAGGGTCCTTCCAGCCCCAAAGCAGCCTGTCCAGAGATCCCCAAATCCTGATCTTGACGTTGGAGGCCTCCGGAGATGTTCTTTTAAAATCTTTTAGAAGGGTTAGAGGGGTTGAGGCTGCCTGACCCCAGCCTAATGTGGTAGGTAGGCCTTGGGAAGTGGAGCATGGGGGCAAAGGATCCAAGCGTTGAGCCTTCATCCCCTATTCCCCATCCAGTGGGGTGCCGAGGCTCGGGCAGCATGACGACGGAGACCTTTGTGAAGGATATCAAGCCCGGGCTCAAGAATCTGAACCTTATCTTCATTGTGCTGGAGACAGGTGTCTATACTGGGGTGGCAGGTTCGCGGGATGGGGGTAGGGGGCAGGAGGGGAAGACGCTGTTTGCGTTCTTAACTTGGTGTGGGGATGGCAAGGCGAGCCACAAGACACTCCTCACTCCCAGTCTCTCTCTTCGACCTTGGGACAGAAAGCTGCAGTCTGGTATAGGGTAGATAGAAGTCTTGCCAGATCTAGACCTCCTGTGCCACATGTGCCTCTTTCCACACAGGGCCCTCTCCATGGTGCTGGCCTCTGAACTACACCCCCCCCGCCCCCCCCACACACACCTTCCATAATTCCAGCCCCTTATGCCTCAGGGATTTGGGCTTTGCCCTGTTTGTACACCTTTCCCCTCATCCCACCAATATCCACGTCTCATTCTTCTGACAACTACCACCCCATTTATTTGATCGTCCTCCCACCTCGATTTATCTGTTCCGTTCAGGCCGAGTGACCAAGACAAAGGACGGGCATGAGGTTCGGACCTGCAAAGTGGCGGACAAAACAGGCAGCATCAATATCTCCGTCTGGGACGATGTCGGCAATCTGATTCAGCCTGGGGACATTATCCGGCTCACCAAAGGGTAAGCCAGGTGATAACTTCTAGCCTTCCAAAGGCAACAACAATCAAGAGTGACCCCACTCTTGTAACAGTCCCTGTAACGCTTCTTTACTCTGAATTTTGCTTTTTTCGCCCCCATAGGTATGCTTCAGTTTTCAAAGGTTGTCTGACACTGTATACTGGCCGTGGGGGTGATCTGCAGAAGATTGGAGAGTAAGTGTGGTCTTGGGGATTGGGATGAAGAAGCACCAGCACAAGGAGGAAAGTTGAGGTTTGCGGTAGCACAGGCTGTGCAGTCCAAGCCCTATTTCTGGATTTTTTTTTTTTTTTTTTGAGACACAGTCTCTGACCTCCTGGGGTCAGCTGAACCTTCTACCTCAGCCTCCCAAGTAGCTGAGATTACAGGCATGCTTCACCACACCTTGCTAAATTTTTTGTATTTTTTGTAGAGACGAGGTTTCACCATGTTGCCCAGGCTAGTCTTGAACTCCTGGGCTCAAGTGATCCTCCTGCCTCTGCCTCCCAAAGTGCTAGGATTACAGGTGTGAGTGACCATACCCAACCTATCTGGATTTTTCTGAGGCCTGCAGCAATGGCCCAGAGGATGAATCCAAGGCTTTAGCTGCTTTCTTCCCTTACAGATTCTGTATGGTTTATTCTGAGGTTCCTAACTTCAGTGAACCAAACCCAGAGTACAGCACCCAGCAGGCACCCAACAAGGCGGTGAGTCCTGTGGCTACAATGGTGGGAAAGGAGGGCAGATCAAGACAAGAAGCATGGGAGGGAGCAGGATCTGAATATGTAATCTGTACCTTCAGGTGCAAAATGACAGCAACCCTTCAGCTTCCCAGCCTACCACTGGACCTCCAGCTGCTTCTCCAGGTAAATCTGTTTTCTTCCATCCACTGGTCCTCCTAGCTTCCCCACTCTCCTCAGCCTAGAAAGATGCATTTCCCAGGCCAGTCGCGGTGGCTCACACCTATAATCCCAGCACTTTGGGAGGCCGAGTCGGGTCGATCACGAGGTCAAGCGATCGAGACCATCCTGGTCAACAAGGTGAAACTCTGTCTCTGCTAAAAATACAAAAAATTAGCTGGGCATGGTGGCGTGTGCCTGTAATCCCAGCTACTCAGGAGACTGAGGCAGGAAAATTGCCTGAACCCAGGAGGTGGAGGTTGCAGTGAGCCGAGATCGTGCCATTGCACTCCAGCTGGGGTAACAAGAGTGAAACTCCATCTCAAAAAAAAAACAAAAAACAAAAATTAGCTGGGCATGGTGGCGCGTGCCTGTAATCCCAGCTACCCGGGAGGCTGAGGCAGGAGAATTGCTTGAACCCAGGAGGCGGAGGTTGCGGTGAGCCGAGATCCTGCCATTGCACTCCAGTCTGGGTAACAACAGCGGAACACTGTCTCAAAAAAAAAAAGAAAGAAAGAAAGATGCATTTCCCTCATCCCTTTTCCAAATATCTCTTTTCTCAGTATATCCGCCTTCACTCAATTCTCCCAGCCCCTCTTTTTTTTTTTTTTTTTTTGAGACAAAGTCTCGTGCTTGTCGCTCAGGCTGGAGTGTAATGGCATGATCTTGGCTCACTGCAACCCCTGCCTTGCAGTTTCAAGCGATTCACCTGCCTCAGCCTCCCAAGTAGCTGGGATTACAGACATGCGCCACCACACTTGGGTAATTCTTGTGGTTTTAGTAGAGATGGGGTTTCACCATGTTGGCTAGGCTGGTCTGGAACTCCTGAGCTCAGGCAATCTGCCTGCCTTGGCCTCCCAAAGTGCTGAGATTATAGGCATGAGCCACTGTGCCTGGCTTTTTTTTTTTTTTTTTTTGAGAAGGAGTCTCATTCTGTCACCCAAGCTGGAATACAATGGCATGATCTCAGCTCACTGCAACCTCTGCCTCCTGGGTTCAAGCGATTCTCATGCCTCAGCCTCCCTAATACCTGGGATTACAAGCATGTGCCACCATGCCCGGCTAATTTTCTTTTTTATTATTATTATAATTTTTTTTTTAATGGGGTTTCACCATGTTGGTTAGGCTGGTCTTGAATTCCCAACCTCAGGTGATCTGCCCGCCTTGGCCTCCAAAGTGCCTGGATTACAAGCGTGAGCCACCATGCCTGCCCTAATTTTCTATTTTTAAAAGAGATGGAGTTTCACCATGTTGGCCAGGCTGATCTCGAACTCTTGACCTCAAGTGATCTGCCCACCTTGGCCTCCCAAAGTCCTGGGATTAACAGGCATGAATCACCATGCCCAGTACACCCTTTTTTGATACCTTTTGTAAGTGCCTATAGAGAAAAATTTGGGAACCTTTTTTTTTCTTCTTTTTTCGACAGAGGCTAGCTCTGTCACCCAGGCTGGGGTTCGGTGGCGTGATCTCGGCTCACTGAAACCTCTGCCTCCCAGATTCAAGAGATTCTCCTGCCTCAGCCTCCTGAGTAGCCACAACACCTGGCCAATTTTTTGTATTTTTAGCAGAGATAGGGTTTCACCATGTTAGCCAGGCTGGTCTCAAAACTCCTGACCTCAGGTGATCTACCTGCCTCAGCCTCCCAATGTGCTGGGATTATAGATGTGAGCCACCACAGCTGGCCTGGGAACCTATTTCAATCACGATAGACCTTGGGTACCCTTTTGCCACTGTCACTCAAAGGTGAAAAAGAACAGCTTTTCCACATGTAACAAAGGAATATTAGGGGCAAAGAGACTTAAATATATCTTTTTTTTTTTTTAATACAGAGTTTCACTGTTTTGGAGTTTCACTGTGTTGCCCAGGCTGGAGTGCACTGTCAAGATCTCCCTCACTGCAGCCTCCACCTCCTGGGTTCAAGTGATTCTCTGGCCTTCTGAGTATCTGGGATTATAGGTACATGCCACCACGCCTGGCTTTTTTTTTTTTTTTTTTTTTCCACTGAGATGGAGTTTTTGCTTTTGTTGCCCAGGCTAGAGTGCAGTAGCATGATCTTGGCTCACTGCAACCTCCACCTCTCAGGTTCAAGCGATTCTCCTGCTTCAGCCTCCGAGTAGCTGGGATTAGAGGTACCCGCCACCATGCCCAGCTAAATTGTTGTTTTTTTAGTAGACAGCGTTTCACCATGTTGGCCAGGCTGGTCTCGAACTCCTGATCCACCCGCCTCACCTTCCCAAAGTGCTGGGATTATAGGCATGAGCCACCTCACCTGGCCTAGGTTTTATATTTTTAGTAGAGACAGAGTTTCACCATGCTGGCCAGGCTGGTCTGGAACTCCTGACCTCAGGTGATCTTCCCACCTTGGCCTCCCAAAGTGCTGGGATTACAGGCATGAGCCACCACACCTGGCCAAATGTATCTTATTAAAAATATTTTTTTGCTGGGAAGCTGAGACAGGAAAATTGCTTGAACCTAGGAGGCAGATGTTGCAGTGAGCCAAGATTGAGCCACTGTACTCCAGCCTGGGCGACAGAGCAAGAGTCCACCTCAAAAGAAAAAAAAAAGAAAGAAAATCTAAGCCAGATGCAGTGGTGCACACCCATTGTCCTAGCTACTCGAGAGGCTGAAGCAGGATTGCTTGAGCCAGGAGTTTGAGGCTGCATGAGCCATGATCACACCACTGCATTCCAGCCTGGGAGACAAAGTGAGACCTCATCTCTAAAACAGTAAAAATTAAAAAATAAAAATATATATGCAAAAAAAATGTGACTTATTACCTTTGGCAGGTAAGATTATGTATAATAATCTTATCTTTTCACTTACGCGTTTATGTATATATATATATATATATATATATATATATATATATTTTTTTTTTTTTCTTTGAGACAAAGTCTTGTTCTGTCATCTAGGCTGGAGTGCAGTGGCATGATCTTGGCTCACTGCAACCTCCACCTCCCGGGTTCAAGTGATTCTTCTGCCCCAGCTTCCTGAGTAGCTGGGATTATAGGCATGCGCCACCACACCCAGCTAATTTTTGTATTTTTAGTAGAGATGGGGTTTCACTATTTGGCCAGGCTGTTCTCAAACTTCTGACCTCATGATCCACCTACCTCAGCCTCCCAAAGTGCTGGGATGAGTCACTGCGCCTGACCACTTATCTATGTTTTCTAAAATGAACAGTATCATTGTGGTACACATATACACACCTTTTTTTTTTTAAAGTGCCTCATATTTTAACACAGATACTTCAGGCCTTTCCCCTTGTCATGCTTCTTCAGTTTTACAATCACTTTTGGTAAAGGGGCATTTTTGTCATAGGTCCTTGAACCTAGAACTAAACATCTAATTAGGTCTAATTCTCAATAAGACAGATAAATACAAGAGAAAATATCATACCAAGGTTCATGTAGCAACTTCCAAAATGATCGTGTGAGTCTTCTCTCTGGAGCTTGGTTCATATTGGCAGCCCACTGTATATTGCATTTGGTCCACTTGGCCTTAAGGTGCAGTTGTGCATGGTGAAGACTGTGCCACTCTTTAGGGCATGGAGGCAGGTCTTTGGATGGAACCCTCTTCTATGTCAACTAATTCCTTTGTTTCTTCTCCAACAACTAGCCTCTGAGAGCCAGAACGGGAATGGACTGAGTGCCCCATCAGGTCCCGGTGGTGGCCCGCATCCCCCTCATACTCCCTCCCACCCGCCCAGCACCCGAATCACTCGAAGCCAGCCCAACCACACACCTGCAGGCCCGCCTGGCCCTTCCAGCAACGCTGTTAGTAACGGCAAAGAAACCCGGAGGAGCAGCAAGAGATAGCATGACATTCTTCCTTCCTGCCACCAACCACATTCCAAGTGTCTGCTGGAGAGCAAGATAGCCTTCTGCTGGCTGGCTGGTGTAGCAGTATTTTAGCCACTGAACTTCAGTGGAGGGGTGGTGAGCAGTGCCCTTATCAACCCTAATCTTGTACTCCCCTATTGTCCAGCTGAACTACCTGTCCCCTGGGAATCAGGACCCTCCACCTGCTTTCTTTCCTCTTTAGAAATGGCAGTTACCAGCCGGGCACGGTGGCTCACGCCTGTAATCTCAACATTTTGGGAGGTTGAGGCAGGCGGATCACCTGAGGTCGGGAGTTCGAGACCAGCCTGACTAACATGAAGAAACCCCATCTCTACTAAAAATGCAAAATTAGCTGGGCGTGGTAGCTCATGCCTATAGTCCCAGCTACTCAGGAGGCTGAGGCAGGAGAACCACTTGAACCCGGGAGGTGGAGGTTGCAGTGAGCTGAGCTTGTGCCATTGCACTCCAGCCTGGGCAACAAGAGTGAAACTACATCTCAAAAAACAAAAAGAAAAGAAAAGAAATGGCAGTTACCATCTATTTCTTCTGTGTGAGACATGGGGGTCTAACTGAAATCTCTCTTTCCTAATAAATGTTACCACTCTACTCTGTATTGAACTCCTTTGCTTTTTGTGGGAAAAGGAAGAAGTTAGCAACTAGGCATTTGGGAAGGTGGGGTGTCTCTAGAAGGGAGATAGGTTACAGATAAGGAGGCCCAGGCAAAGCAGACCTGCCCCTTTAAGGTAGTGTCCCTCCCCCACCTGCTCCCTGCAGGTGACCCTTGCCCGCCCGCTGGCCTGCCTGCCTGCCTGCCTGCGCCCCCAGCTGGAAGCAAGAAGGTTGTGTCCCCCTTCCTCTGGGTGTCTTTCTTGTCTCCTGCTATCAGGTAATGCCAACCTCAACCCCATGGACTGGGCACCCCGATCAGACTTTGCTTGCCTGATTTTAGGTCAGGTCAGACTTCAGAGGGGAGCCCAGATCCCTGTTTCTTCTCCCCTGCAGAGCTTCCCGTTTATTGGTCATTGATCCCTAGAGCTCCGGCTCTTTCTCTCCATGGGGTGAGAAACTGTTGCTAAGAACAGTTTCTTTCCCATGCATGCATCTGGGCTTGGCATTCATCTGCCTCTTCCCCCTCCTCCCCAGGTTAGGGACACCTGAGTCCAACCTTCCCAGGAATATGGGGATGGGGGTTGGAGATGAATTCAGTGCCAGATCTAAGGTAGGTAGGGTGGAAGTATATGCAGGAAAGGGCTAAAATGGTACTGAGTTAAAAGTGGGGTGAATTATTTAAGAGGAAAAAAAGGACCGGGCACGGTGGCTCACACCTGTAATCCCAGCACTTTGGTTGATTGAGACCATCCTGGTCAACATGGTGAAACCCCGTCTCTACTAAAAATAAAAAATTAGCTGGGCATAGTGGCACGTGCCCGTAATCCCAGCTACTCAGGAGGCTGAGGCAGGAGAATTGCCTGAACCCAGGAGGCTGAGGTTGCGGTGAGCCGAGATCGTGCCATTGCACTCCAGCCTGGGTAACAAGAGCGAAACTCTATTTCAAAAAAAAAAAGAGGAAAAAAAACTAGGCCCAGGTTCTCCTTAACCATGTGGCTTTCCCAGGGCAGAGGGTGGCCCCTCCCAACTCAGAGGCCCAGCCGAGACTGACCTTTGACCCCCACCCCAGAGACCAGTCAACCATTAACTCCTCTCTGTTGTGAGCCTTCCCACACTGGCCCCACCCCTGACCCCACCCCAAGGCAGGTGGGCTAGGAGGGGGTAAGTGTCCATCTCAGCCTTCTATGTGACGTGGCCTCTGTTCCACCTGGACACCTGGAGGCTCAGTCTGGATTTCCCCCTCCCTGACTCAGGAACTGCTTAATATCCACATCAAGGCTTAATAGGGGAACTGAGGTGACAGCTCTCACGTTGCTAGTGGGGGTGAGGCCCTGGGGATTGAGGGGGAATAGAGAGGTGGGGCAAAGTTGAGAGGTGGGGTTTAGGGGACAAGGCATGGACAGTCAGCTCTGGATGAAGTATGGGGAGAGCTCCGAGTCAGGGAGGTGCTCTAGGAACCGGCAAGCCAGAGGCTGCTCCTGAAGGAGGCAGTGTGGAGGGAAGAAGAAGGCTGCAGTAGGGGCTGCTGCTGGACTCGGTGTGGGGCAGGTACAAGGAGCTCTGGCTTCCCCATGGCCCCGAGCTGGAGAGCAGAGCAGCAGCTCCAGCCCAATCCTTGTTCTTCTAGGACACTGTCCTCAGGATGCTTCGAGGAGAATAGGAGCCAGAACCAGAGCCCCTGAGCCATTTCCCCTGCAATGATGGGGTCCCCAGTGAGTCATCTGCTGGCCAGCTTCTGTGTGTGGATCGTCTTGGGCTGGGTAGGGGGCTCAGTCCCCAACCTGGGCCCTGCTGAGCAGGAGCAGAGCCACTACCTGGCCCAGCTGTTTGGTCTGTACGGCGAGAATGGGACATTGACTGCACGGGGCTTGGCAAGGCTTCTCCACAGCCTGGGGCTAGGCAGAGTTCAGGGGCTTCGCCTGGGACAGCATGGGCCTCTGACTGGACGGGCTGCACCCCCAACTGCAGACAATTCCACGCACAGGTACTGACTCCTTCCTCTACCCGACAGGGTCAATCCCCCAGCTCTCTCAGTGCTTGCCCCGAGTTGCCTTGTTCTGGCTTCCTTACGAGATCCCTGGAGTTACAAATTCTTCAGAACCCAGCTCCTTGGTATCTCCTCAAGGCCTCTCATGCCTCTATTGCCTTCTCTATTGTTTTGTTTTGTTTTGTTGAGGCAGGGGTCTCACTTTGTCACCCAGCTGGAGTGCAGTGACATTCACGGCTCCCTACAACTTCCACCTCCCAGGCTGAAGCCATCCTCCCACCTCAGCGTCGCAAGTAGCTGGGACCACAGGTGTACACCACCATGCCCGGCTAATTTTTTAAATTTTTTGTAGAGAAAATGTTTTTGACATGTTGCCCAGCCCAGCTAGTCTCAAACTCCTGGGCTCAGGGATCTGCCTGCCTTGGCCTTCCAAAGTGCTGGGACTACAGATGTCCCTGGCCCTCCATTGCCTTCTAATTCTCTCCTCCGAACCTCTAAGCCCTTACATTTCATGCTCTTAGTCCCAATGTTCAGTGTCTCTGGCTGACTTGGCTCCAAATTCATAGCCCTTTCTTTTCTTTTTTTTTTTTTTTTTAGACAGAGTCTCACTCCGTCACCCAGGCTGGAGTGCAGTGGCACAATCTCACTCACTGCAAACTCCACCTCCCGGGTTCAAATGATCCTCTTGCCTCAGCCTCCCAAGTAGCTGGGACTAGAGGTACACAACACCACACCCAGCTAATTTTTGTAATTTTAGTAGAGACAGGGTTTGAATTCCTGACCTCAGGTAACGTACCTGCCTTGGCCTCCCAAAGTGCTCGAATTACAGGCGTGAGCCACTGTGCCCAGCCATTCGTAGCCCCTTTGGTTGTCCTCCTTTTGTTTTCTGTCACCCCAGTGGCAGAAAATGGGTAACTCTCAGATCTTCCTAAGAATGACATTCCATGGTTTCTGCTTCCCAAGATCTCTGGCCAGTGGCTAGTTCCCCCTTCTCCCCTAAGCTCCCTGGGAGCCTCTCAAAGTGCGTTGATAGGACACAAGGGAGACTGACGTGCTATCTCATCCATTCCAGGCTGCAGAACCCTGAGCTGAGTGTGGATATCTGGGAAGGGATGCCTCTGGGTCCCTCAGGGTGGCGTGACCTGGAAGAGTCAAAGGCCCCTCACCTACCTCGTGGGCTAGCCCCCTCGGGCCTGGACCTCTTTCACAGGCTTCTGCTGCTGGACCACTCACTGGCTGACCACCTGAATGAGGATGTGAGTCTGATGGTCTCTAGAGGGGGAAGGAGCCATGGGATTAGATAGGCTGAAATATTTAAATAATCAGTAGTTGGGCCAGGAGGGGTGACTCACACCTGTAATTCCAGCACTTTGGGAGGCTGAGGTGAGTGGATCACCTGAGGCCAGGAGATGGAGACCAGCCTAGCCAACATGGTGAAACTCCAACTCTACTAAAAAATACAAAAATTAGCCAGGTGTGGTGGCAGGCACCTATAATCCCAGCTACTCAAGAGGCTGAGATGAGAGAATCCATTAAACCTGGGAGACAGAGATTGCAGTGACCCAAGATTGCACCATTTGCACTGCAGCCTGGGCAAGAAGAGTGAAACTCTGTCTCAAAAAAATAAAAAATAAAAAAGGCCAGGCCCAATGGCTCACACCTATAATCCCAGCACTTTGGGAGGCCGAGGCAGGTGAATCATCTGAGGTCAGGAATTTAAGACCAACCCTGTCTCTACTAAAAACACTTAGCTAGGTGTGGTGGTGCGCGCCTATAATCCCAGCAACTCTGGAGGCTGAGGCAGGAGAATTGCTTGAATCCAGGAGGCAGAGATTGCAGTGAGCCGAGATTGTGCCACTGCACTCCAGCGTGGGCAACAGAGTGAGACTCTGTCTCGAAAAAAAAAAAAAATCCCATTGTGATCTTAGGGGATGTTATTTCAATAGTGAGCTATGTTCCCTTTGGGATCAGAACAGGTGAACCCATATCCAGAGCTCCAGGACTCAGTTTAGGGTCACAGTTGGCAAAGCAGAGACTGTAGAGAAGCAGCCCAGGGTAGAATCTGGATGGTCATCTGGAGAGGAGCCCTGCAGGGAATGGATGGCTGTCTTCATCCAGAAAGACAGAGAACGCAGACAAAGCTGCTCTAACCTGATGGGGGTCCAGTGAGTGCCCCATCGCAGGAAGCATTCAAGCTGAGACAGGATGAACACGGGACAGTGATGTTGACAGGGAGGTTGGATAGCATGTCAGGGTCTTTTTCCTTTTAAGATTCTGGCATGGAGAGCTCTAGTTTTGGAGCTTCCTTTATCAAATCAAAGAAATGATTGAAATGATCAGGGTTTGGCGGGGGAAATGAGGACAATGCTCACTGGCACCCAGTTTGTACTGAATTGAGTATCTGCATTGGACTGAATATCCACTAATAATTAATACACATTGATTATAAGTACCCTTGCTCCAGTCCCCACGGGACCTGCTAGTAGGAGCAAAGGGGACCCTAAGAGAGACCCAGGAGTCTATGCAATGGAAGGACAGGTGTTAAATATCTTTTTTTTTTTTTGGCGGAGTCTGACTCTCACCCAGGCTGGAGTGCAATGGTACTATCTCGGCTCACTGCAACCTCCACCTCCTGGGTAAAAGCAATTATCCTGCCTCAGCCTCCCAAGTATTAGGATTATAGGTATTCACTACCATCCCCAGCTAATTTTTGTATTTTTAGTAGAGACAGGGTTTCGCCATGTTGGCCTGGTCTCGAACTCCTGACCTCAGGTGATCAGCCTGCCTTGGCCTTCCAAGTGCTGGGATTACAGGTGTGAGCTACTGCACCTGGCCAGGTGTTAAAGATCTGAGTCATAGTTCCTGGTGATTCTCCAATGTATGACCCTCAACTCCCCTAGTGTCTGAATGGCTCCCAGCTACTGGTCAATTTTGGCCTGAGCCCTGCTGTTCCTCTGACCCCTCGTCAGTTTGCTCTGCTGTGTCCAGCCCTGCTTTATCAGATCGACAGTCGAGTCTGCATAGGAGCTCCAGCCCCTGCACCCCCAGGGGATCTACTAACTGGTCAGCAAGTAGGAGTGGGTGGGGGACATCCTGGAAATGGGGCCCATGCCAAGGAAGGAGGCTCAGTGTGGTCCCACCTTACGTATGGAACCCTCCTCTAGCCCTGGTCTAACTTCAGCCCCTGATTCTCCCCAGCCCTGCTTCAGAGTGCCCTGGCAGTCCTGTTGCTCAGCCTCCCTTCTCCCCTATCCCTGCTGCTGCTGCGGCTCCTGGGACCTCGTCTACTACGGCCCCTGCTGGGCTTCCTGGGGGCCCTGGCCGTGGGCACTCTTTGTGGGGATGCACTCCTACACCTACTGCCACATGTATGTGAAACCCCTTCCTTGTACCCCTGTCCCCAGTGGAAAATGGCCTCCATGGATCTAAGGTGTCCCCAGCTGTAGGACATCCCCTCTCCTTTTCCATCAGCTCCCACATCCTACTCCCAGACCCTGGCTTCAGCCCATGGCTGCCTTCTAGTAGAGCATATGAGCAAAGGCTTGCCACTGCCCATGGGTGAAGGGGATGATGTCAGGTATAGGGGCTTCCAGGGTCTGCCCTGACCTTTTCTCTGTCAGGCACAAGAAGGGTGGCACGCAGGACTTGGCGGTCTACCAGAGGAGGACCTGGGCCCGGGGCTGTCTGTGCTTGGAGGCATCTTCCTGCTCTTTGTGCTGGAGAACATGCTGGGGCTTTTGCGGCGCCGAGGGCTCAGGCCAGTGAGTTATACTCTTCTCTTCCTTCTGCTGAGACCGGAGTCCCAGTCAAGAACTGGCCCAAAAAGCCAGAAGGTGAGGAGCAGTGTGTGCTCCTGGATCTCTGACATTTGCCTGCTGTGCAGGGCCTATCGGCTAACAGGGAGTGGGTAGGGACTCCTTAAGCACAGACCCAAGACTTCTGGCCAAATCTCATCCTCTCCTGAGCTCAAATCAACAAAAAACAGAGGGGAGGTGCCAACCTGGGAAGAAGGTAGAGGCCAAAGAACATCCCAGGTGCCAGAGGTGGAACCAGGTGTTCATCTTCCCAGCTTGTGCCCTGGCTTCCCCTTAGTCCCTGGCTCTGCTGCCTCCTCCACCAGAAGGAATGCCCTCCTATTTCAGGGATGCTGCAGGCGAAAACGAAGGGACTTCGAAACACGAAACCTGGACCCAGAGGATGGCAGTGGGATGGCCCTTCAGCCCCTACAGGCAGCTCGAGGTGACAAGAGGAGAAAATTTGAAGAGTAGGTTCCTAGCTCACAGTCCTTACTTGCAGCCACCAACACTGTCTTGTGCTTCTTACCACAGAGCCAGGGGCTCAGGGCCAGAGGGAGCAGAACCACCAGCACCCACCAGCCCCAGCCCCTCCTGGGCACCAAGGCCACAGTCATGGGCACCAGGGAGGCACCGATATCACGTGGATGGTCCTCCTGGGAGATGGTCTACACAACCTCACTGATGGGTTGGCCATAGGTGTGAGGGGTGGGAATGGAGGGAGGCAGGTCCAAAGGGAGGCAGGGGCTCCTAGTTATCAGCTGGGACTAGGAGAGTGCAATCAGGAGGATGGGGAGAGGATGGGAGGACCACGGAACACAGGAGCCTGCTTCTGAGGAGACTTTTCTTCTGGAATGACAACTTCCAACCCTGCTGGCCCCAGGTGCTGCCTTCTCTGATGGCTTCTCCAGTGGCCTCAGTACCACCTTAGCGGTCTTCTGCCATGAGCTGCCCCACGAATTGGGTAGGAATGGCAGGAGTAGGGTGGGTTGAACGCCAGAGAGGAGATAGCTCTAAGGGGTACAGCTTGGAGACTGGCGGGTGGCATGGGTGAGAGGCAGCCCCAGTTGACTCCCTCCCATCCTGTCCTCTCTCCAACAGGTGACTTTGCCATGCTGCTCCAGTCAGGGCTGTCCTTTCAGCGGCTGCTGCTGCTGAGCCTTGTGTCTGGAGCCCTGGGACTGGGAGGCGCAGCCCTGGGGGTGGGGCTCAGCCGGGGACCTGTCCCCCTCACTCCCTGGGTGTTTGGGGTCACTGCCGGGGTCTTCCTCTATGTGGCCCTTGTGGACATGGTGAGAGATGTCGGGTAGAGCAGAGAAATCAAGGGTAGTGGGGAGCAGGCATGGAGGAGAGGGAGGTAGTCCTTCCGCCTCCACCACCAGCTCCTGGAAGGGCATCAGACCACAAGCCTGCAAGTCTGAGAAACAAGGGACTGAGGCGTTTGGGCGGGGGCTGGCGATGCTTTCTGACACCCTCCTTCTGGTGTTGAGAGGTCAGGGGCAAGGCCAGAATCCTGACATCCTCCCTCCTTTTCTTTTAGCTGCCAGCCCTGCTTCGTCCTCCGGAGCCCCTGCCTACGCTCCATGTGCTCCTGCAGGGGCTGGGGCTGCTGCTGGGGGGCAGCCTCATGCTCGCCATAGCCCTGCTGGAGGAGCAGCTACTGCCTGTGGCTTCTGAGGACTGACTGAGCCAGTGGAAAGGGGTCAGGGTTGCCCTTACTTCCCCCCAACCACAGGAATGGAGGCGGGACACAGGGCCAGTAGGAGCAATAGGATTTTAATAAACAGAACCTATCCCAAAGCCATGACTACGACAGTTGTACTTGCACCAAAACAGCATAGAAAATCAGGGTGTGGTGGGAGGACCCGAAGCCGGTTGGGGGAGGATGTGAATATGAGTAGGGGCCTGGAGGGTGCAGGGTCATTAATCTGTAGGGAGAGCATTGTGCTTTAGCCCAGGGAGGGGAGGGGTGGGGCAAATGCACCGAGGTCCCCACTTTTTCCTGCTGCCCTTAACACCCTGGGGATGTAGGCATCTGGGCACATCTGCCCCTTATTGCTGCCCACCAGCGTTAAACACCCCCGATCCCAACACTAGCACCACAGGTGGTTCCGGGGCAGGGAGGCAGGAATGGGAAAATTGCTTAGAGAAAGATTCCACTAGAATCCAGTGAATTGTGCTCAGTTCTCTTTACTTCCTACAACCGAGTACATGGGTCACAGGGTGGAGGGTGCAACAGGACGTGGAACATGCCCCTCCGTGCCCCCCAACACACACCTGCACACAGGATGGTGGTGTCTGCAGCATCACAGGTCATGCAGGGCATGGGGAAGGGGAGGTTCACACACACATAGATGCCCACAGCGGGTACCAGACAGAGAACACCCCTGAATATACACAGCTGTACACGGGGAACCCCCAGGTCCCCACCCCAACCCTCTCCCCTGTCTTGCTGTCCCCCGCAGGGGAACTATATTGCTTTGAGAGAGCCACCCTGGGGGCTGCTCTGCCAGGCACCCTCCCCTCCCACCCACCCCCATTTTGGCACATCTGCAAGACACACAGCAGCGAGAGTAGGCACCCTCACTCCCAGGCTTCTGCGGCCTGGAGCTGGGGAAGGGGATAGGAGACTTCATCCTCCATCCTCCCCTAACCCTTCCCAAACCCCTGCCAAACCCACTCCAGCCAGAACCCACCCCCACCCCAAACACACATACAAAGCTGAGCTATCCAGGAACACAAGGGGAACAAGGAGATTGTCTGGGGTGGAAGTGGAGGCAGCGGGGGAAGAAGACTGGAAGCAGAGACCTCCCCCCCCGTGGGGGGAAGACTGGCACAACAGCTACTTTAGTGCAATTGGAGAGGGTGCCCAGAGTGAGGGGGGGAGAAGGGAGGGAAGGTGCTCCCCAACTTCCCTGGGGGCAACATCAGGCTTCCAGATTCCCCAGGGAAAGGGCCTAGCAGGAGTGGGCGAGGGCCAAGGTGGATCCTCTGGTTACCCGCCACCCTCTGCCCTCCCAAATGCAGTGACAGTGTCCCCCTCACACCTAAGTGGGCAACAGCAGCCTTGGAGTCAGTACCTTCAAGTAATTCAAAGAGCAGACCCTCCCCACCCCAGCTTCACCCCATCTCTGGGATTTGGTCGCTTCTCTAGGGGTTGGGTTGGGAGGAGGGAGCCCCCAAGGCAGACCCTTCCTTCTCTACCTCCCGCTTCCCAGACCACTGGGTTTGGTCCTCAAAGATTCCTCACCTCCACCCTTGCCCAACCTGGGTCAAGGCTGCGGAAGGTTGGAGCCACCACAATGAGAGGGGAAGGGGCTGCTTTGTTCTTTATCCCTCCTTCTTACAACATAGGGTTCAAACTAGGCGGGATGGGGGCCCATACTGGTTTGCCCCAGGAGTAGGGTTTCTGGGCTAGGGTCTGTAAGGCTATTTTCCTTTGCGGTGGGAAGGGGAGGTAGGGGATGAACACTGGGTATGGGAAGGGGGTGAGAAACAGCTGAGAGGGAAGGAGGAAGGGGCCTCCCCGCTGGAGCAGTCACTGGAGTCACTTAGACAAAAACACTCATGTGCGTAAGATACACAGTGTGCGTACTCAGCCCCACCAGCCTGGCCCTAATCCCACCTCTCAGGACCCCTTCCAAGACCCTGGAGGAGGTTTTGGGGTATAGCTGGAGAACCATTCACTCAGGCCCCATCCACCCCACCCCCAGCATCTTCTCCTTTTCTAGGTCCAGGGAGTAAGAAGGTGCTCGGGTGGGCAGACAGTGGTGGAAACAGTATTGAGTTTTCCTTTGGTTACATATTGAAGGCAAAGGTGAGCTGGACTTACAGTCAAAACGGATAGGGGTGAGGAAGGAGGAGGGGCCATGGCTGGGGTTGAAGAGGGAGGTAGGCCCTCCTCAGCCCCTCCACCCCAAGGAACATGTCTACATGGGGTGGCAGTCCCTCAGTCTCGTCTCTCCCACCCCCCACAGCACCAAACAAAAGGAGAAGCCCCCTCCCCCAGGGGCTGCTCCCCACCCCAACCTGGGCTGTACATTCAGTGGTTTTCAGCAGTCCTATGGCTCAGGGGGCCACGGGGCAGGGGAGGTGGCCCATCAGTCGCAGTGGACAGTGGCAGTGACCCGGGTCTGCTGGTCCATTCTGGGACCCACAGTTTGTGCCGTTCATTTTTCTGAAGGATAGTACAAGACCCTACCAGAGCCACCGCCCAACCAGAAACAGCTCCCCAAAAATCAGAAACTAAAAACTGGCTCTTTCCATCTCACCCTCTGATTCACACATCTGTTTCCCTGTCTCCTATGTCGCCCTCGCTCTGTTTCCTTTGCTGGGACCTGGGGTTGCTCCCAGGGTCCTTGCTTAAAATAGGCCTTTTCACAAAAGTGCTTATTACTTGAAGCAAGTGCTTTAGAGCTACGGTGGGGAGAGGGGGGAGGGGGAGGACAAAGGGAAGGCGCTGTTCCCCCCATCCCCCCTGAAGATTGGGGGGCATTCTGCCTGTTTTACTTCTCCACACCCGTTTAAGTCAAAGAGGTTTAAAAAAAAAATCTTAACATTAAAATAAATATTCAGTGGCCATGAGAATGGTCAAAATGCTTCAAAAAACACTAGGGCTGGGGAGTCCGGGGTGGGGCGTGGAGTTTCCTTTGGCATAAGGAGAGGAGGCTGCTTGTCCCTCAGGCTTCCTCACAGCCACTTACGTAGGGACAGAGGACTCCCCACCACCTCCCAGCACTGCTGACAGTGTGCTGAGGGCAGCAGGGAGCAGTCAGCCCCCAGAAATCTCATCTAGCAAGACAACGGGGCTCCTGACAGATATTCAGATGCTTCCCGCCATCGCCAAATGTCAAGAAAGGAGAACACGACTCACACCCCGCAAGTTCTCTCGGGAGGACCCATCTTCCAGCTCCCCTTGCCCCCCACCACCTAATTCCCAGCACCAAGATGAGAGGGAGGGGGTGGAATGGGAAGATTTCAGGAGAGAGAACTGAAGAGAGGGCAAGCTTTGCAGAGCCAGCAGGGTTGGGGATGGGGGCTGCAGCCCTTAAGAGAGGTCACATTGATTGTCGTATAGGGAAGTACATGGTATGGAGGGAGGTGGGCAAGAGGGGCGTCACAAGGCCCTTTGGCTTTGAAAACAAAAATAAAAACTGAAAGCTGCACAATCCTTCTCACCAATAATGGTCATTTGGAAGCCTTGAAATGGTTTAGGAACTGAGGGTTGGGAGAAGCAAGACACAGAGAGACAGGGGATCAAAAGGGACCATCAAAAGATAAGGACTTGGAAAACACCCCAAGCTTCTGGAAACCAGCATGAGGTATGGTTAAGGGTATCCACTGGGGAGGGAGGGGGTCCCCGGGATGCCCCCCTCCCCTCAGCCCACCCTTGGCAAGGGTGGCAAGACATTCAGGGGACACAACTGAAAGATGGGCAAGACTGTGAGTAAAGCAAACTTGGGAAGGGGAGGGAGGCTGAAGGATCCCCCCAGGGGGAGACCCTGTACTGCGTAAACGAAGCCTGTCCAGTTCTCAGGGGACAATACTGATGGCAGCCAAACTGGGCAAGGATGCACTGTGGGGGCAGAGGGGGCATGACCTCTATTCAAGTTCTGTGTCTTGGCCCCTGGCTGAGGTATTGAGTGTGAGGAAGGGAACACTGGGCTGCAGGAGTGGGTCCAACTGTCCAGGACGCTGCACTAGGAGATGGGTGGACAGAGCACTTAAAGGGACCAGGGCCAAATTCAATGCTACATTTAGAGAGAAAACTGCCCCCTCCTCACTCCAGCCCAGTTTGGCTTTTGGGATGCGACTGTTAGAAATCTTACCAGTGCAGCCCCTGGCTCAATCCCATCTCTCCTCCCTGCTGGGAAGGCAGGGACCAAGCCCCAGTACCTATTCATCTTTCTCTAGGTCAGAGCTTCTTCCTCACCCTGGAGGGGAAGCCTGGGTCCTGAGTAGCCACGGTCCCTTGTTGGCCCTGCCCCTCCTACCATCTTTGGCTTCAGATCAGGAGTGACTGGGGCAGTGGGTACTCTTGGACATAAAGGAAGGTGGAGGTGGAGGCAGACAGGGAGCACAGAGAAACTATGGGATTGGGGGCACAGGAGGAAGAACATGTTCCCTCCCTCCATATACATGCAAACACATGCCTGAAACACAGAGGACATACTAGGGCTGTGGTTTTGAAATGGGCAGGAAGTTAACTTGTGTCTTCCCCTAAAGGATAAAACGCTTACTTAAAAATTCATGACAAGCCTCAAAGTTCAAGGAAAGGAGAGCTAGGGCGGGAATGGCCAAAGGCTCTGCCCTCCCAAAAGAAAATAAAAGAAAGAAGCAAGGTTAAAGTGCGTGGTTAGGGGCCAGGCTAGGAGTGGGAGGGAAGGGGGAAGGGGCAGGCTGTGGGGGCAGAACCAGCCCTTGATTTGCATATGAGGAGCCAGGGGAGAGTGCAGGATTGGGGCCCAGGTACAGTAGTTGCTGCTTCAAGTGTTTTGCATTTGAACTTTAGGGGTGATAGGGTACAAAGTGGGGAAAAAGCTCCAGGCCCCAGTGCTAAATATCCTCCCCCCTCATCCTCTAGCTGCCCCTGAAGGGGGAGGGGGACACCCCCAGAGTGCTCACACAGTACCAGAAATTAAGGCTTCTCACTGCTGCGGGGATGGAGGGACCAGCCGAGCAGGGAGGCAGTGATGGGTATGGAAGAAGAGGGGATCTGCCTGGCAGTAGGGGCAGGGGAGAATGGGGACACAGAGAGGAGTCCCCAGGGAAGAGTGGGGGGAGCTGGCAGCAGAAAGAGG